TCTTTATTCATTCCTCGGCTTTCTGCCCAGCTCATTCCGCTCCAGACGTCCTTTCCTGCTGCCTTCTAATTATCCCGTTTTCCTGTTCTACAGAGCCAATGCCCCGCCGCTCCGTAATATCGTCTATGTAAAGGCAGGTCTAAGGACGAGCCATGAAGGGACGTAGGAAGTTTGCTGGGTAAACACGATTTCACCGCAAAGAACGACGGATCGGTCGCGAAAGAAAAAAGGGAGAGAGATGAAGAGAAAATAGAAGGGCAAACTGAGCGCACGGGTCTCGTGGCTTCTAGTAGCTGAAGTGCTGTCGTATTACCACAGCGGAAGGTTTGCAGCTTCCGTTGCAATTCAAAGAAAGTCGAAGATATACTTCTATCGAGGACCCATTGTATGAGACAGACGCTCTCAAACTTCGGCTTCAAATGTTTGTAAGGATTGCACTCTGTATCTGCTCAGGATGTGGTGAGTGTCACTCTGTTGCGGTGGGCGGGGTGGTTCTAGTTTGCTAAAAACCGGTACCCGTTGTAGAGGACGCTTGGATCGTGTGGCGTTAGGCGTAAAAAAAATTTTTAGAGTGAGAGCCAATAACAGCATCGGAATTGTCGTTATCGTCCGTGCCATGCTTTTTTTTCGTTTCATTCTATGACAAATTAATCTAAAAGAGATGTAGTCATCAATAAAAAAGAGTCGGCCACTATTTTGTTTGCCTCGCCTTGCCTTAAACGAATAAGTAGGTTAAATAGATGAATCTAAACGTTGACGCCAAATCTCAAACAATGTTTGTCTCCAGCCGACACGAGTTTTTAACATAAATTACAATTTTTTTTTTGTTTTTGAGCATAGCCGCCACTATTATGTGTATTTTATTACCAGATACGTTTAGCAGTAAAAGTTTGAATTCTTTTACAGCAAACAAAAACGAAAGACGTGGTTTGTTAACTATATCTCCTGCTTATCAACCGCATTTGACCTGCAGCAACGATAATGAGCCTCACAAAGTTATATTATCATACGGTTTAATTCGCATTCATATGTTATGTGACATTTACCGTACACATCGAGAGGTGACTACGCTAGACGCTAGCGTCAACTTAGGGTTAATCAGCTTTCCCCAGTTCGTTTACAGTTTCCGGCCTTGCTTTTAGATTAACGCTCTTCAACGCCATCTTCTTAAACACATACATGCCGACATACAATCTCATCGAGTGTCATCTCCCGCGTCTCTTAAGCAATGCGACAGCCTTTTAGGGAACAAGCACCTACCAGGTAACGGCATTTTTCAGATAGAAGAACCACCAAATCGCCGTTCTTATATATCCATGAGAGTTACTTACCGCTACGAACAACGACTACTATTAACGTAACGACTATTAAAACCATATACTGTGTCTGTGTATGAGCGCTAACGCGTTCACCGTTATATGGGGCTAAACCGGGGGTTCAGCCAGTGAACGACGCAGGCCGTCAGCAATTCCAGCTTCGTGAAGTCTTGTTCCAGACTACGACTGTTGCCACGATGCTGAGCGACGTTGCGGCCAGTGCACCCGCTGATGGTTCTGCTTTTGCCATGCCGTGTTGTTGCCGTTGGTAACGTTAGCGGCCCTGCTGAAGAAGAATGAACGAGGTGCAATGTTTTCAGATTTGCCCCCGCGTTGAACCGACGGGACCGATGGTTTTGGCCACGGCCCTCTGCCGCTGTTGTTGTCGGCAGCCGACGTCACTAGTACTACTGACGCTGCAGGACCGGAAAGGCCGGAACGTCGCAGCTCGGCGGGATGCCTCGCGCCATGGTGTTCGAAATTAACCGAATCGCCAGTATAATCAACATCAGCGTCATTATCAACTATTATCTTTACTTGTATCGAAGTCGTCGCAAAAGGAGGCAAGATCGCTGTTAGTAACATCACATGCGGGCAACTGGATGGCAGTCGAACTTTGAGATAGATTATTGTACATGTAGGCTAAAAGGCTGACAGCGAATGATAGTAATAATTACAGCTGTATAGATAAGCGGTAACAATACGGATATCAGAGCGATAACACGAAGGCGCAACATACTCATCGGATGATAGTAACAAATAATGAAATGTTGCAGGAGCCAAAGCTTTGATCTGTATCATTCGAAGTAGTAATTCAATTTCAAGTTAAAGCTTCTACAGGAGGTCACAAAACAAATGGATTTCATTTTACTGAGGTTCAGCTAATTAGATGTTAAGTTCATTCAAAGAGGGCTCACATATGTTTGTAACTCTTTACTGATATTATGCTTGATGAAGTTATTTCTGATCGTCTGGAAGTTCTTACGTGCTTGCATGCTTTCAATGTCAAGTAGTGATAAGTGGCAGGACAAAAAAACGTTACGTAACACTCGTTCTTGTGCCCGCTTAAGAATGAAGACTATTTAGAACGTATCGATGTCAAGTCTTTCTCAATCATATTCACTTGCGTGCGGATTTGGCCAGTTTTTCCATATGAGACTCTACCTACCCTCGTTCATTTCGTGAACGCCTCGCCACCTAGCACACCTATGACAACAGCTAAGTAGTAGTCGACTGTATACGATGAAAGTATGGTCTTACTCTTCGGGGTTTATTTGAGCATCGTTTAGCCAGACGGACGCTAACAGGTAGATGTGAATGTACAAACAATATTCGTCTCGTATAGTAAATGCCGCCGGTATATTGCCTCTCGTCGTAATACCTCCCTTCGGTGCTGCGGTCTCCCCCCCGCGGTAACTCCAGCCATATCAAAGGAACCACTAGTAGAAATCGCGAAGCATTGCAACTGACTAGAATTAGTCCGATGGCTCACTTGCGAACGGTCAATTTCATTAATTCATTTTTATCTCATTAATTAATGTATCCAAATACGCCATCGCCTCATCACGAGCGAGCGAACCCTCTCCTACCCCGTTTCCTAAATATTTAGTGGGCAGAGTAAAGGAGCAAACATGCTCGGGGCTGACTTGCCCTCCAGCGGTTCTTAGAGGGCATTGTGTTCATTCAAACACTACGAGATTATATTGTACTTAAGGGAAAACGAGTATAGAGTATTTTTTAAATGCATCTATCTGTAACGTTTTTGCCTATTATTATTAATGTGTGAGCGGGTACCCGCAATCACCTCTTCAATATGGCATCGAAGACCTGCCCCCATCAAGAAATGTAGCCAGAGAGGGTCTTGCGTGGTTTCTTCAACAGGACTAAGAAACGATACGGTAATTATATTCCATAGTATCCAATTGCGAATGCTGAAATATGAGCCAGCAATGGCCGCATGTTATCATGGCAATGTGCTAAAGCGATTACGTAGCAGCTACCCAGACCACGTCGCCTAAAGGTCTGTGAATATTTAGAAGAAGGCCAACTTATTCCTACAGTACGACTCCAGCAAATCAGAGAATGTAGATGGTGGCATAATAACGCAAGCAACTAGCACAACTGTTGCAGGTGCACTTGCCCTCGATATCGGAATGGGGTACACTCTATTCGCTATGTATATATATCGATATTGGGGCAAGAGATGCCAGCTGATCAAAATGGCGGGACAATTACAAAATAGCGTTTTCAAGTTTTTCCATGTTTCTTGCAACACGACAGGTTAACATACACAGGATCCTGTCCAGCCAGAGATCCAGTCCTGCCAAATCAGCGTACTGGTCTGATCAAGCGCAGCTCCACAGGGAAGCGGCGCGAGGGGGTATGACGACAAAAAACAACAACATAATAACAGCATCGTCGCCGTAGTCAACACAGTCGTATCACCATTGTAAGTTAACGGCATCGGCGCGTAATTTGCTACTACCGCTGCTGATCTGTTGCTGCTGTCGTAGTTTCCTAGCGTCGCTGCTACCGCAACCGTTGCGGGGCTGAATCACAAGGGCGGCCATTGCATGGCGGCGCGCGCCACCTTGGCTCTGTTCATCCACACTAGTGGGGCGACCGGTCGTTGTTGGCCGCTGGAAGCTGAGAGGGGGGTTCAAGACAGGGGATCAGGGCAACCCTTACAGAGTTGCAGCCGCCACTGTCACTACAACGACAGCAAAAACAATACCGTTAACAACAAAAACCGAATAACAACAACGAAACGCAAAACGACAGCGATAGAGATAGCTACCTCCCCGGCAGCATTGAATAGTGTAGCAGGATGATATCATAGGCACTAGCACACAACAAGATCGTCACGACTACTACCGACTAAACCGGTTGAAAAGGTAAAGGTGCCTGCGAATATTACCCATCGACCCTTAGCCAGTCAAAGCCGCCTCGACAAGATACTTGTATCAGTGGTAACAATATGGCGCAGAGAAACACCAAGAGCGACAGCGGAGTGCCGGTGACATCGCGCTGGCTAGTCGCTCTGATCGTTCGGACACTAATAAAATGAAAAAAAACAAACTGAATAAATGTAAGAAAGCGAACGGCCAAGGAAAATTAGGAAAAAAAAAAAACTGTAGATACAGCAACGGAAAAAAGCCAACCTGGAGGAGTAGATATCATTAAACGAGCGTAGCAGAAACCCAGCAGAAACCGTAGGTCTACCGTTGTTTTGGTCGTTGTACTATTACAGTCATATCACGATTTCTATTTCGTTCATTGTCTTCTGCTGCTTGCTTTTTTTTATCTTAGATGCTGTTATGTTTTTTCCTGTTTTTTTTTTTTACTTTTTTTCACCAGTAAACATCACTAGCTTAGAAAAACACACCAACACATAAACTTCTGCGTAACCCGTACAGCAGTTCCATTCAATACTACCGCAAGCACAGCGTGGCAACAATGATGCCGACAGTATCATATCAGAGTCATAGGCGACAAAGTTTTTTTATTTTTTTTTTTTTCTCTCTCTCTACGATGAAGCATTCCGCAAAAAGGTACACAAGGTAAACAACGATCCAGCAAAATCATCACCGCAGACATCAGCATCAGTCAACAAAGACGGCAATAGCGGGGCTAACATATAGTGAAAGCGCTATGCAGTAAAGGAAATATAGCGGTGGCCGCAGTGGAACCATGACGTTTGATAACTTGGCATCTCACGTAAGATGCGTATGTAGATGATGCAGACGTACAAAGTAGGTACCGCTCCACGTTGTTTTGCTGCCTACTTACTTATGGAGTTTTTCTTTTATTCCTCAGTTTCGATAACATATGAAGTGGTTTAAAAAAGCAATGGTCCGGTAACAAATAAGCTACAAGGTTCCATTACATGACTACGAGTGTTTCTAGTTGCTTTTCGGCCGGTGCATTGCTTGTCTACTGAGCTAACAGACACGTGAAGTGGTGTACATTTGAAGCATACGATTCTTTTTTGTGCTGGGGAGGGGGCATCACCTGTCGACGGTAGAATCGAACGTAAAACTCGAAACATTTATTTAAATAGTCTATACAAAAAGGCATATTGCTTGCTAGATTCCCAAATCTTATGCGATATATATTGGGTATAGATAAAGTTTGATTTTTAGTTTGACATAGAAAAGTACATGTGACAAGAGAAAGTTAAAATAGTCAAGGTAATCGAAATGTCAGATAAGTTAACGGCCACAAATCAACAATCTTGACCGAAGAACTCCATTGACTGCGCCGTCCTAAGTAACATTTCAGGTACTACGAAGATAGTCGACACTTTGTCGGTTGTTCCAGGTCGGACAGATGCCGCTTCGTTCTCAACGTGCCTGCAAAAAAAGACCCTCGAAATAGTTTATTTGTTGCGTGAAAGTTACGCCGAGTCATTGTCACCCGCGGGTTTGTTGCTACCGTCGTCATAGATGAGTCTCTTTCAGAATCAGCTAATCACAATTACGTTTATGGTTACGATTACGACTTCAGGTAGTGACAGCAGGTACGGGGCTTTGTATGTATTAGGCAGGTAAGAGAGGTCTTGTATTCACCGGTGACATATAACACTTAGCTTACCACGCTATTGCCCCTAATAGACTTGTTTACCTCTGCGGTTATGTGCGCATATTTCATCGTGGGCGAAACTGCCGTCGTCGTTGTTGATGCTGAAGCTGGTGCAATTGTGGCGGTCTGCCTTCAAGCGAAAGCCGTTGCCGACAGCTGCCGTCTGAACGAACGGTAATAATAGGCAAGAAAAAATCGACTCTCAGCCCTCTAGCATCATAAAGTAGAATATGATTATTAGTATTATTAATAGTGGTATTTTGTGCCACTGCATAGCGGATGTCGGGGCCGACTGATATTGGAAATTATATATCTAACTAGTTTATTTTCGCGAGATAAACTATACCTCATCATCACCATGACCATCAGCATAATCTAACACGTTGACAGCAGCAAAAGTAACAGCATTGACCGACGTTCGAGTTGTTGACAACGGGGTTGTTGTGACGCTATCGTTATGTTGTTGTTCATTCACAGCACTCGGCCTGTGGGAGATGTTGCCATCGTCAGCGTTACTTTACGCACGCATACCCGGTAGATAAAATAAATCGAGCAGACCTCACTTGTGTTTCATACATTTTGCACCAGTACCACGAATGGCAACACAAACAACAAACAGCATTAGCAACTACACATAATTATCAAGACAACGACTTTGACGTTTTTCAGCTGTGAAGGGAAAGCGAGCCTTGTGGGCCGATCTAATATCCTGCCATCGATATCGCCATGACCAGACTCAACGTCAGCAGCGTCTTGTTACTAGCCGGGGTGCTCCCCTAACCCAAATTCGTATCACCTTCGAAAAACAACAACGATAGATAAAAACAAGACGTAGGACGATTCGCCTGGATGATCTCCTCCTCCTGTGGCATCTTCATTTGGACAACGGATACGAAGCAAGCCCCCAGGCTATGCTTGGGATTTATATTTCTAACTTCGTCACTGTTTTTATGTCACTGCCATTGACGAACATTAAATGTTTCTGAAGTGTCTTAGAGAAGCAAACAGTGTGTTAACAACAAACCTTTCATGGAACAGAGCAGCGACCTTTAGAGCTGAAAGTTCGAGCGTTTGCTCTTCTTTTTGTCTAATTTGCTGTGTAGGCCAAAAATTGATGAGCGCTTTAGTCGCTGACAATTCATTCAAGACTTTATCCTGCCTTCATTAGCTAGTTAAACTTACTTTGTTTGCTAGCGATAGATAACGACGGAAGGTGGGAAGAAAGTTTGGTGCCACATCCGACTTCATCTTGACCTTTCAGTGAATATGTCGTATATGTAAGTGCAAGCCCAAAATCTTGACTAAACTAAGGAAACCCCATGTCATTGACAAATTTGCATTCTCTCTCAATGAGAATCCCTCTTGCCCCCCGTACTTTCACTTGTAAGAGCACTCTGCAAAATCAACAGGTACCCCAGCATACCTTTTCGTTCAGGCTGGAACTCGTTGACCCTTCCTACCTAGTTATAGCTCTGTGTGTCTTCCCGTTTTATCAGCCGTGTATACGCTTTGAGTCGTCGATTTCTTCGACGTTCTACTCATCAGGAGCCCCATGACAATATGACGCCTTCGTTGACATCCTAGCCTCCACAGCCTGTCTATGAAATTGTCTGTTTCGGTGTTCGACGCTGGCCACTGCTGTGCATAGTGCCACAGTTTGGCAAAAAGCAACGTTTTCGTTGATGGGACAACAGTAACTAGGAAACGTTACAAAAAAGTTGGGAGATAGAAAGCGCGTTTCGTTTATCATTACCTTCTTAATGCCAACACCATCCCTGCCATTGTTCTGACCATTATAGATGTCGGTTCTGTTCTTGTTTCGTGTTTGTGTGCGCGCTCTTTGCACAAAGTTGACAATCTAATGGCACTGCGACACAGCGTTTGTCTCCTTTTTACTTTTTGATTGGTCTATACACACACCTGCGACATAACGACAGGACGTTTGCTACGTTCAAGCCTATTGCTATAACTGTACACAAAACTTTTGCTTTTTTTCCATTTTCTCCGTTCCGTCAACGCAGCTCCCTGTGTCACTGTCTTTTTGGCCAGGTCGTTGACTTTGTTTCTCTGCCAGTTGTTCCCGTATGTCGGCACCAACACTATCAACAGAACACCTGTTGAACATCTGGCCGAAAACGTCACCAGCGCTGCCGCGACAACAACAGCAGCAACAAGCATCCAACGTTAACCAAAAGTCAACAGGTATACGCTGTGCCATCGCCGGCGCAGCAATGAGACGATGTCGGCGGCATCCAAACGTAAACGTCTTCGCCTGCAGAGCCCTCCAGCTTGTACTAGTGAAGGTTTTATATACCCTACACTATACACTATGATAGAATAGCAGCTCATTACCTACTGTTGCTAGCAGGCACCAGCCCATCTTATCAAGGCATTATTTTACCAGCTAGCTGTACAACGTAATACTGTATCGTAAGGGGTTTTTCGTTAACTTTTTAACAGGACTCGACATATCCACAGTGGCGCTGCTACTGATGTCGCGTGTATACAGAGCGGGCAACGTGTAAATCATTACACTACCTGACCACAGCAATGGCGGCGGCGGCGGCGGCGGCAGCAGCAGCAGCAGCTGTAACAGCGCGAGATGGAACCGTGGATGTAGCGTCCTTTTGCGCTAGCTGCCAGTAGTCGGTAACCCTAAGAGCGCGGCTGCCATTGGGGTGGTGGTTAGTGGTAGCGAAAAAATTAACGGTCGATGACCGTTGTTCGGGCCATTGCTCTTACTGATGCTGTGGTTGTTGGATGAGTAAGCACTTTCACTATCTGCCACGATTGCTCAATCGTCCCGATGGATCAGCGTCAGTCGGCGCGGCAGAGAACGGTCACTTCGGTGGTAGGTCCTCCTCCTCCTCGCACAGTAGTAACGGTTTTGGTGATGGAGGCAAAACAGGGGCAATATCGGAGGGAAGGGTGGTGACCACGACGACCACAGCTCCGTATTGCTGCTGGTTGGCAGCGAAACTATACTTGCGAACTGCCTCGTCACCCTCGAGCACGGATTTTGGTAGATCCATCTCGTCTTGCTTCGCCCCTCTTTTTTCTTCGTTGCCGTTTTTCGGCTTCCACTGCTACCACCAGCAAAACTACGGCTTTTTAGCTTCTATCTTCACGTTGGTCTTTACGTCTTGCTGGCGCGCTGAATTGTCGGGCGCTTGCTTGGGGACTGTTCCCATGTCCCTGATGATGGACCGCGTCCATTGTACTGGCACACACAGTGGCAGGCCAACAGTTAAACACACACACACACAAGGACAGACAAATATACGCACACAGGTACAGATCGTTGACTTTTTTCAGCCAATACGTTAAAACAACTACGACTTACGCTCCGCTATCTTTGTTGAGGTGAGGCCTAACTAACGCTGGTGGGGGCAATGGCCTGGTGAGAGACAAACAGACATTCAAAGAATCGGACGAGAACCAGCTTATTGGAGTTGATGTCGTTATCGACCGTCTATTATTTCCGCTGGCGGCATGGGAGACAATTGAAGACAAAAACGAGCAAACAGCTGTTGCTTGGCTAAGCTTGCTTTGACAGATGCTTTGGCAATTCAAGAAGAACAGATTGAGCCGCACCCAGACAACTTTTATACGACGACCTCTCTCGAAATTTCGTTTTCTCTCTCTCTCTCTCTCTCTCTCCCTCTCTCCCAGGCCGACAGACGAAGTTGTCCGTTCTTAGTTAGAAGAGGGGAGTGAGTGACGCGTGTAACTTTCTCATAGGGCTGCGGGAGCCCGAAGTGACGAAAGGCTAGATTTACACTATAGTTAAGTCATCTTCAGCCGCTAAACCATAAACGCAAACAGTAACCGTATGAGAACCGTTGTTTCTAACTATTGGGTAACACGTTGGTAGCTAGCCTCACTAGATGCGTCCAGAACAACTGCGTTTCAAGTAAACTCTACTTACCATTACTTCGTTACTGGGTTACAATATTTCCATTTGCTTCTATTAATATTGTTAGTATTCCATTGTTCGACTAGCACTCAACGAGCGTTCTTGCTAGCTGTTTAATTAAGCTAGTTCATTAATAACAACGCAAATAAAAATTGACCATAGACAAATATTACTCCTGCCGTTAGCGGCGGACCGAGAAAACGCTTAGTGCCCGGTCGCCTTTTGCTATGTGATATGATATAATAATTATAACCGGCGACGGTTGTCACAGCAACAGTACCGACTAGTAAAGTAGAAGGGTTAATTGAACCCGGTGTTAATGGCTGTGTCTGGTGTTCGCAAACGCCGGAAATAACAACGTCAACAACAACAACAACAATAACAGTGCCACTCGTAGCAAAGAAACGGTCAGCAAACGTCTTGGTTTCCTGCCCATTGCCGAAGTCCGTCGCGTAACGTCATCAGCTCTAGTAGGGGAACCTTCAGAGGAAGCGGCGGCGGCAGCCGTACACCATTCCAGCCCACAACTCACAATTTGCCGAAGAGAAGACGATGCGCGAAAGTCAGGCAAAACTTCGCGCGCTATAGCGGCTACGGCAGCAGATAGGGTTTAACGGCTAAACGATAATAACAAGTAAGGCAATTTTAATATATGATGCTGGATATATATATATATATAGTATCTTTTTTAGGATAAGACTAACAACCCAATGTAACATTGTCAGATTAGCACTGCCGGCAACAAGAAGGACAGAAAGGCCAAGCGGAATCATCGTAACGATAGTGGTCTTTCATCGCAATGGTAATGGCGATTATAATTAGAGCGCCAGCTTTTGTCAACGTTATCTTATCTTTTTTTCTTTCATTATTAATATTGATAAAGGGTTCGCGTGGAAACGTTCGAAATTTGAGAAAGCTTTTTTTTTTTCTGCAAAGAAGGTTGAATCCATTATACTGTTGTTTTTAAAGGAATTGAACGTGTACATGAACAAACAGTGATCTGATGCAGGCTCGTTACAACTGTACCAGTAGGACATAGCTACGTGTAAGTCACTGTAGATGAAAAGGCTAATCTTGGAATTCTGCCCTCTAAGCCGCTGCCAGGATTCGATGCTTCTAGGTGATAGAAGTATTCGAACCTGGGAAAACGGACTTGGTATCAACTTTTAGCTAACAACATTAGAGTAAGCTCAAAGAACTCACCAAAAGGTCAATGTGAAAGCTGGAAAATTGAATTGGTCCTATTATTATTATTAGGAGCATACCAGCCGTGAGATACGATTTCAAAGGTTATCGTTTACAGCCACTAAATCCTTTCTGCATAGGAATCTTGATTATACTTTAAGCATGAACACTGCGTTGAGTGGCCAATGTCCAATTGTATTGCAATCCAAATAAACATCGAGGCGGCATCGGGTACTTACCTGCAAGCAAAGTTAAGAAGGTTAGATGGAGGGTTTATAGTACATATACTACTGAATCTAGCCTTCTGTGCTGAATACGTATGTTCTATTGAACCGAGCAGCGCAAGGAAATTATTGAAAATACTATCCTGTACACGGTTTCCGCTGGATTTTTATTCTCAACATTCAAATACAAAAAAAGTACGTAAATAATAAGTATAGTAGAGATATGATGCGCTACCTTGTGTGCGTTCACAATCTCAACAGATACTTTCAACAGCCTTAACAAAAAGTGTCCTGTTTTAAACAGTATCGCATCTTAAACCCCACTCGCTCAAGTCGCTGTTGCACTGACCGGCGTATCCTTAGCCGATGCACTCATATGATGCGTTTCGTATCAATGCGTTCGTTCTTTTCCAGATAGTAAACATCTTCTAATTTCATGACTTCAACATGCTGCTAAAGCTTGCTAGATCGATCACCCCCTAGAGTTCAATGAAGATAAACACACCTTCTTTTTTTTGTTTTTATATCGATTCTTTTCCACCCATTGCCAAATGATTAATAATTACCCCTCTTACTACGAATGGTTACG